CCTTTGTCACCGAGTCTGTTAATAATTTTTATGGACAATTCCTAGGCCAAGCCAAGTGGCATAAGGCTTTCACTTAGTTGGTCTCAGAATCTCATCTCTGGTTGATGTGGTTCTGTTGGCTTCATCACGTGATGGCCTCCAGCTCGCACTGGAGCAGTTTGCAGCCGAGTGTGAAGTGGCAGGAATGGGGATCAGCACCTCCAAATTTGAGCGTGGTCCTCAGTCGGAAAAGGGTGGAGTGCCCGCTCCAGGTCAGGGACTTTGATTTCAGCATCTTCTCTAGGTGCACTTCAACACGTGGAGTGGTGGAACTGGGGCTCCATTATCCTTTTTATAATATGTGTTTGAAAAATGTTAGCAGCCAAACTTCATCACTTACTTGTTGTTGGGCAACAGACAACTGCTAAGCAACTGCAACTTGAACTGAATTCCCCTACAAGGCATGAGGTCAACAAGGGGTCATAAGAGGAGGATAGAAAAGACATCATGAATAAATTTGTATTTAAAGATTGTTTATCTTTGGCAAATATGTGATGAATCCCATTCTCAAAAGCAAAGTGTTTGAAGAAAGTGTTACGACCACTTGTATGTGTTGTCTGAACAGTGCACTTTGTTATGGTTATTTAACTGGGCAGGGGCCCTCTGCTGGTGCGCAAATGTACAGCTCCCGAATGACTAGTTCCAGCGGGAGGACCCACCTTTTAAATAAAGTCCGGACCGCTGCCAGCAAGAAAGGTTCTCGCACGTCACCTAACGTCTGATCATGTCATGGTGCCTGTGCCTCACCAGCTGACCCATATTAGTCAACATGTGGTTTTGTTGTTTTGCTCTTTCTCTCCCTCCTGCCGGGGCGGTGCTCATTACAGGCTCCCGCCCCTGACCCACCCACCTGCCATCTCCACACCTGCTGCCTATCTTCATAATCCCGAGCCCTGCTTAACATGGCAGCACTGTGCTACTCCTTGCTGGATTGTTGAGCGATCAGCATCAGTCGCTCAGTAGTTTGAGAATCTGTGAGACGTTTTCCGTCAGTTTGCCTCTAATTGAAGTTTTTGTGTGCAGATCTTTCCCGGACCTTTCCCTGCCTGTAATCCTGTGAATGAGTGTGACCCAGTTAAGGAGTGAGGAGAGTGATTTGGAGACCTTTTGGAGCACGTTTGATCCCCTTCCCTCCCCTCACGGATCCTGGAGCCCTGGACCCCCCTTCAGCACATTGTATATATTATCACCTGGTGTTGTCTGTATAAATAAATTAACTGTCTTCTCTAAGAGGATTCCTGGTCTGCGCCTGAGTCCGTTAACTAATCCTGACAGATCAGCGGTCGGAACTGGGTCGCCGTGTTACGCTGGCCGGGGTCCTTCTTTTCCACCTGGTCTTCCTGCACTCCTCTTCATGTCTGGGGCCTATCTTCTCCAGTACTCAGCTGGCTTCTTTTTAATAGGTCTTTAAACAGCTGATAGGCCACCTCTGGACACACCCAAAGCTCAGCAGGTGATCTCTATCAGCTAATTTGTCCCATGCACCCAATCCACAGTGGATTAAAACATTGTCAAATAACACACTAAAAACATGCAATACAAACAGAATGAAATCATGCAAATAAAAACTACACTCATAAATAAACACTAAAATTCAGAATAAAACCAATGTACAAGATAAATACAAATTTCCACTGTGTGACAATTGTCTCCTGTGGCTGCTTGGGTCTTGGGGGCAGCAAGTGCCTCATCCATGCTATGACCTGTCCCCTAGATGGGTTGTAACAAAAGAAACTACAGAAAAAGGAACAGAACTTTAGTAATGAAATCTGGAGAAATTGCTGCGACAATAAAATCATCAGAACAGCTCCTAGAACAACAGTGTAAAAGTGTTCAATCCCCATTAGTTATGTTTTACTGGGTAACACTAAGAAAATTACTAAAGTAATATATCAGATATGTTGCATCCCAGTGAGCAATAGAGGTAGTGGACATTACAAGCAGAGCAAATTTTGAAATGATACTGTGGTCAATATTACACTGGGCACAGTCCCGGCTGTTTCTGGTGTGGGAAATGTTTTCTTGGCACAACTTAAGCATGCTTTTATTAGTGAAGAATAATTTGTAACTATGAAGCATTGTCCTAAAAAGTTGATTCTGTTCATCTGGACGTAACGTTTTCAGAGGGAGAAATGTTTTTGTCACTCATCCAAGTGACGTCTTTAGACTCAGCTGACTGCAGGGCTCCCCAATCTTATAAACGGACATTTGCATAATGACTGAAACTAACACCACTTATGAACAATGGGCTGGGAGGTCCATTTCTTCATCATTAATTTACAATGCTTCTAAATGAGAATACACTCCTAAAGGTGTTTGAATTCACAGACAAACTTAGCCCAGCACAGCATGAGAAGTCTAAGACCAGGAAACAGGAAATCTGTGCGTCAGAAACATCACCAAAATATGGAGAGTGTCCTACGCAGCCAAAAGAGAGAAGTATGCCACACTGAGGATGGGGACAAGTGGGTTAAACATTTTGTCTGACAGACAGCTCACCCAAGCAGAGATAAACATCCTTGCAAAAGGGTTGAACTTTGTTGTGACGCCGAGAAAAATCCCACTAGTGGAACTGATCGCAGCAACTGAAACAACAGCAGACATTAAGCGGAGTAACTGCAAATAAAAGTTTCGGCTTGTCTCAGCAGTGCATCCAAAATAAGCATGGAGGAGAGGAAGGCATTCGCATCGCTTAGTAACGACAACAACACTATCATCTTTCTGCCAAACAAGGGTAGGTGCACAGCTTTGATAAACAAGAAAGACTATTGTGTTGGAGGTGTGGTCTGAGGAGGGGTGGTGCAGTGGGCTCGAGGGACAGTGCCAGGGAAACTGGTGGGGCAGCTGAAAGCCATTCAGCACATATGCTTTCACTATATCAGTGATGCTGGGATCTGGAGATGGAGCCAGCTGGAAAGCTGAGAAGTGGTGAACCTGTAAGCAGGGGAACTGTAAAAACCAATGCATTTTGTAATACAGAAACCACACAAACACACCAAATGTCTCAGGTTTTTACCAGGCTTCACAACTATCATGAGAAAATTTTGTTACTGCTTAGTGATAAAAATACTTATGAGCCCCTGAAACGAGACCCAGGAAGTGGTTACAGGAAGAGGATGTTAGGTTGTGTGAAGCAGTTAGAGCAACACATTGCTACTGACCGGACCTCATAACACAGGGGAACCTACATCAAGTCTGTGTGGTTTACCAAAGACACATAAACAGGGTATACCAATTGTCTATATGAACAACTTGGTAAATGGTAAATGGACTGGTTCTTATATAACGCTTTTCTACTCTGAGCTCTCAAAGCACTTTATGCAGGATGGTCACCGATAACATCACCAAGTTTCTGGCTTCGATCCTCAAACCGATGATAGTCAGCTCTAAACACCACATCCAGAACACTTTTGTTCTGTACTTAATTCCACCTATTTCACATACAAGGGTCAGTTCCACAGGCAGAAACATGGGTGTGCCATGGGCTCCCCAGTCTCACCCACTGTGGCCAATTTGTACATGGAAGAAGTGGAAAAGCTTTGCTATCCTACCCTGGAACACCACCAAGCCATTGGTTCAGACATGTGGATGACACCTGGGTGAAAATCAAATCTCAGGACATATCACATTTCACGGATCACATTAACTCAGTGGACCGACACATCAAATTCACCAGGGAGGATATGAACAGTGGCAGGTTAGCCTTCTTAGACTGTGAGATTTCCATCAGTAATGGGGGACATCTAAAAGCTGACGTGTACCGTAAACCTACACATACGGATCAGTATCTAAGATTTGACTCTCATCATCCACTGGAGCACAAACTGGGCGTCATCAGGACGCTACAACACAGAGCGAACACCATCCCCACTGACACAGCAGCCAGAGAGGCAGAAGAACATCAAGAAGGCCCTGAGTAAATGTGGTTATCCCAGCTGGACTTTTGTCAAAGCAGGAAAGGCTCCTACAGAAAGCTCCAGCTGATCCAGGAGGGAAGGACAACCGCTGCCCAAGCGAAAACCTGTAGTGATCCCGTGCGTGTCAGGAGTATCGGAGCAGTTGAGACGCATTTTTTCTAAACACCAGGTCTCTGTGGCTTTTAAACCCCAAAACGCCAAAACTTGGTCCACCCCAAGGATCGGGTCCCCCGACACAAACAGAGTAACATAGTGTACGCTGTTAAGTGCAGGAGGATTGGCAGGATTTATACATCGGGGAAACCAAACAACCTCTGGCGAAGCGGATGGCACAACACAGAAGAGCTACCTTGTCAGGCCAGGACTCTGCAGTCTGTTTACACCTACAGGCCAGTGGACACTGTTTCAATGATGAGGATGTAACATCCTGGACAGGGAGGAACGCTGGTTTGAGGGTGGAGTCAAGGAGGCCATTTACGTGAAAAGGGAAAGACCATCTCTGAATGGAGGAGGGGCCTAAGGGTACATCTGTCACCATCTTACAATGCTGTGATTGCAGCCATTCCCCACCTCTGTGAATGGGACTCATGGTTATTGATCAGTGCTCGTGACAATTTGCTTATTAATTGTCAAGAAACTGACCGATTTGTGACTGGACTATCTGGTTGGTTGTACAACCTCACTGCTAGGTGCCACCAAATCTCACAGTAGTCTTTAATTCTACTTAATCCTGATCTGAATGCCACAACCTGAGAACTGTTGCTGATCACGTGGATGCTTTCATGGCCACAGTTGACCTTATTCTATGCCTATAACTACCTGTGGTACTTGGAAATATGAAGTATGTTGACAGTTGTGGAAACGTAATATTTCCATGATGTGTCACATTAAATACTCACAATACACGAAAAAGTTAAATAAACCTAATAAAGTAAAAGATCAAATATGCAGAAATTGAGCTTTTCAGAGAACAAAGAAAAGTACACTGAAAGTAAAGGTAATTTTAAAAAAGAAAAATAATCTTTTATTTGATTAAACCCACAATCTTTTATCTAATTTGAGTGTGTCAGCCATTGTACAGCAATGAGAGAAAAATGGAGAAAACATATATCAGTTAAATAGAAATGCACAACATTTGTACAAAATGGGAATGGAAACAACTTTGTGAAAACAGACATTACTGTCAATGTTCAAAATGTTAGTCACACTAACGAATGATTCAGAGAAACATGGGACATACTGTTTGAAATTTAGTTATAAAAAGTAATAACAGCACATACTAGTTTAACACAATATTTGGAGTAACTTTTCTTCATTCACGCTGTAACCAGTTAATTTAATTTCTTTGTATTGTACTGGTTGGAGAACCTATAATGTACGGGGAAACAGTGGAGCTAATGTTAGATGAAGCAGCAGTGTCATAAACACAGCTAGGCTGGTTCCAAAGGTTAGTCACTAAGGCTTGCTATCAGCATGCGTGGAAACAAGAAGACCAGCTGCCAGTTACACCTTTTTTCCACAGTCCTGTTTTGTTCAGGAAAAACACTCCACTAGTGTAACATTCTGGCTACTGCTAAATCCTAGCTCATAATATGTACAGTAATCATGATCACTGTCTGTATTAAGAGTCACCGTATAAGTGGCCTGAACCAAGAGCCTGATTCAAACAAATTTACAGCAGGAGCTGCTTCTGCTTGATATTGATTGGCTGGTCTATCCATAGTCTTTATTTTCTACTCAGATGTTCAGGAGTGAGAGCCTCCAGATCATCAGTGATTCATTCTGCATATTAATATCTATATTATCCCAATCTATGATCCTTCTGTAAGCCCAACCATGTGTTTTTTGTTTTGTTTTGTTTTTTGCTGCAATTAAACCTGACCACTTTTTCAAATATATCTATATTTAATATGTCACATTAGAGGGCATAACACTAGTTAAAGTCCTGACTCACAACAAGAAAGTCCTGGGTTCAAATGCAGTCTGGGGCCTTTCTCTCCTGTGCTTGTACAGCTTCCTCCCACAGTCCAAACACATGCATGGGTTAGGTTAACTGTGACTCTAGACTGACTGTGGCTGTCAAACTGAATGGTTGTGTGTCTCTTTGTGTTAGCCCTGTGACGCACTGACAACCTCTCCAGGGTGTACACTGCCTCCGAGAGCTCCTGTTATACTTAAATTAATAAATGGAAGCGGATGGATGGATGGATGTCATATTATTATTCACAGATCAGAAGATATATTAACATGGACACAAAAAAAGAAATCTTTTTTTTATATGAACAACTTTGAAGATGAGACGTGGAAACTTAAACACATTTTTCTACCTCTGTGTACTAAACCTGACATCATCACACCATGAATGGGAGTGAATTATAATAAAAACTTCATCATTCAAATTTCAAATTCAAATTTCAGGGCCATCCAGTGGGTTGGATTAGACCCTTTGACTGGTTGGAGCCCTGAACTACAATATCTGTAGCAATGTCAAACTACCTGGATTCAGGCTGCCACAATTTGAACATATCGATTAAAAAGACAAATCTATTTAGACATGTTAGACTCAACAACCCAAAACAAAACTATGCAGACATCACATTTTTATGAATACTTTCTCATCAAAACAAAGAATAAAGAGGCTTTGCAGTAGCTGGAGTCACTGAAGATGGCTTAGGGCTCTGTATGTCTGTAGGCTCTATTGGGAAGAAAATGAATAAAGTATTAGTTTGAGTTGACAAGTAGTACACAAAGAGTGTGTTTTATTATGCTGCAGCAGTTATTATGTGGAGGGCGAGGTTACAGGGAAGTTTCAGGTAAGCCTGCTATTGTTTAAACTAAGGGCTTGTCTTTCAGTGACCAGTCAACTGTAGTTAATGATTATGCAGTGATACGAGTTTTACTGCCACAGTTACAGCCATTTTTTTTTACTTCTGCTTTTAAAGTCCATCAAAAACAAAGCTATACAGACAGAAACCTGTCTTTTGTTGTACCATTACCCTTACGTAAAGCATCTGTGAAGGTCATTTATGCGACTAATCCAGGGATCATTGCACAGATTTGAAAAAAGGACTTCTAGTCCAAAATGTAATATGTTTTGTAATGTTTTGTATTTATCAAATAGCACTAACTGGGTATCTTTAAAAAAAAAAAAATTGGGATGAAGATGTAAATTGAATGCTATGACGTCAGCTGAACACCTACAGAAGATTTGGGACAAGCTTAGTGCTTTAAAAAAAAGCTGATTTTCTCACATTTTTGTAAATGAGAAACTAACAAAAAATGTATCCCTGCCTGTCCCCAACACACACGCACTGTGAGGAGTAGCCCAGTGTCGGAAAAACGTGATCAAAGGGCTAAAGGTATTAAACCCATTTTCTGTGGGTTGTTTCTTATACGATTTGAATTTTTGCCATCTTTGTCGTTGCTCAATATCATTTCAGTTAGTTTCCGCTATTCAAAGTCTTGGTTTTACGTTTATTTCCTTTGACTAATTTACTGTTTTTTACTGACTACAGTAACTGGGCCTGTGTGCGCTGCACTGTGAGCCAGGCCTCACCTGTACGCCAGGCCTCACCTGTACCCGTCATTATGCAGGTGATGTCTCTGTAGCTGTGTGGGGCATCTCTACGCCACAGTCTGCTATTGAGGAGGTAGCAGTCTGTGTGGTATTGCCCATCGTTGCCATGGCTACGGTCACCCGCTCCGGCGGTGACACAGGTGGCCCCGAGGCTGACCTGGGCATGCGGGCCGTATGGGACGGTTCTCCGTTTCTGCGGAACGAGTTTCGGATGCCGGTGGACACGCGGCTGGAGAGGCGCCTCACGGCGCCGCTGATGCCCCCAAGTCCGCCCTTGTTCTTTTTCAGTAACCCCACATCATCCTCCAGCTCTGACGGGGGCACTTCGATGTTCCCAGAATACCAGAACACCCACCAGATGAGGCTGAGGAAGATGACGATGGCGCCCGCGTAGATGAGCAGGTCGTAGAAAAACACGTTGACAAACACGCCGAGGAGGAGCACGGCCAGTCCCACAATGTCAAACACCACCGCGAGCCAGAAGCAGCACACACAGCGACCCAGACCCCGATAGGCCGGCTCCATGTCCCATAAAGAGAAGTCGGTCCCCACGACGCCAGTTTATTTCCCGTCGTCTCTGTGCCGCGGCATTGAGCGCGGCTCCAATGTGAGCCAGGTGTGGCGTCCTGTCCGCTCAGGTGCGCTGCCCCTGAGAGGAGGGGCTGTAGACGCTACCTGACGGCTGCGCTCATGTGCGTTTATGATGAGCGTTTATAAGGGTGTAGCTTACTGGGCCCAGACTTCGGACGTTACAGTGCAGGTATGACTCATTCAACGTGAATATGAGAGCGGCTTTATAAACTGAGAGGCCAGCATTAATAAACTACAAAAAAAAAAAACTACAGATGACCTGACCAATGCCGCCTTCGCCATCTTGTTTTTAGGATTGGCCACCAGAAAAAAAGCACAATTGCAATATTTCAAAATCGATTAAGAAGATAATTTATATTTATGGGTGAATCATCCCTCTGACAGGAACACTCCCTTAACCAGTAGTGTGCTGCTACTTTTAGCTGCTCTCTTGCCACAAAGGGGTAGCCACAGCAATTAGCTCCATATGTTTGAGTCTTATGCAAGATACCCTTCCTGACACAACCCCAAAGGGTACTTGTGTCTCTGTCTAGAACTAAACCAACAACCTTTTGCTTGAGTAGATGTACTAACCACACCACTTGAGATTTCAGTGCAATGGGTGAAAGTTTTCTCCCACCTAGTCTTTGCACTTGTTTGCACATGTTAAACATGTCACCAAAAAGGTGCTACCAACATGAAACCAGCTGTCAGTAATATCCCATCCAATCCACATTTGCAAAGAAATCAAATAAATATAACAATGAGAAACGACAGGGAAAATAACATACAGCAAGTTCTGTGGTTCATAGCAACATAGAGGACCACAGTTTAAAAAGAATGTATGAACAGACTGTCAATACAAATTTTGACATGATTACCTAATAAAAATTAAGACACGAGCCTGTATCCCCTTTTTTGCTTGCAAATACAGTCAGAAGTCTCACACTGTTACATGTTGCCAATCAGTGCTGTTGTGTCTCCGGCGTCAGGAAGATGAGCCTAAATTCAGCTTCTCCCCATCTGTCCATCAAAAACAGGAAACAACTCAGAAGGTGATATAATGAGGTATGAAGAGATGAACCCCGGTGCCACCAGAAATAATATTGTTAAAAAGTGTTGAGTCACCACACGCCTTCTAAAAACTTCACTTCTCCTTGGTATTAATTGTGTTGTGCTGAAAGGTGGGACTTGTTTGGAAGTGATCCAATCAGAAGAAACAACCTTGTGCAGTAAGGTTAGATGTGTAGATTTGATCTCCTACTGACAAATAGGAAAATAAGATGCTTTGTGAACTGGAGCAACTCTCACTGGTAAAAACACTTTAGGCAACCTAACCAACTTTAGATATTTAGTCAAATGAAACTAAACTAAAAGAACTTAGATGGCCCCAAATGACCAAAACTACATCAAAACTTCCTCAACATCAATATTCATAATCATGCTGAGCTCAGGGTGACCCGCTGAACACTTGATGCTTAAAGACTGAAGTCACTGAGTGCTGTCAGGGTTTCTCAGCTGTTCAGTGTTCTGCCTGAGGATCATTTTAAATCACTTTTATTTTTCACTGAAAATAAGCTGCATTTAGCTGGATCAGTTTTAGGATGCTAGTACTTTTAATGCTGGCTCTTGAATTTCTTTCATCTGCCAGTCGCAAAATTAGCTGTGGGGGGAAAACAGAACGTTTCCATGCTTTGACACACACTGCTCCCATCTAAGCCACATCCACTCCACAGCCTGTACCCATTATTCCACACCTCCATCATGTTTGCTGTGCATCCTTAAAGTTAAATAAAATCTAACTGAGATTGTGCCTTCTTATTTTCACCTCAAAGCTAATGTACAGTGCTGCTGAGTGCTGGGTAGGTGCCCGTCTTGCTTATTCTTTGAGTTTTGAAAAATAAACCACAATTGACAAAATGACCTTCATATTATTTAAATGTTACATAAAATTTCTCCACTTAAGCTCAAGTCCATAAAATTTAATTACTGGTAAATTACTGGAGTCACACACACACACACACACACACACACACACACACACACACACACACACACACACA